TTCTTTCTCTCTAGAATGCCCTGCAGTGTTCTCTGTAGAGTTAGATTGGGGGTTCTGAATTTCCCAAGTTCCTCTTTGTCTTGGAAGCATCTTGTTTTTCCATTCTAGAGACAGTTTACCAGAGTATATCAGTCTGGGGTGGAGGCTATTTTCTTTCAAGGCTTGGAATATTTTGCTCCAGGCTCTTCTTGACTTGATGGTTTGTGTTGAGAAATCTGCCGTTATTCTGATGGGTCTTCCTTTATGGGTTATCTGTTTCTTGTCTCTAACAGTTTTTAATATTCTGTTCTTATAGTGAATTACTAGGATCCTGATTATTATATACCTGGGTGTAGCTCTGTTTTGGTTGTAAGTGGCTGGAGTTCTGTATGGATCATATATCAGAATATCATTTCCTTTTCCTATGTTTGGGAAATTTTCCTTATTTTTGTGAATAGCCTTTGTAGTTCCTTTGTTTGTACCCCTGCTTCTTCATTCATATTCTTTATTCTCAAGTTATAGATCCCCTTGTCATATATATATATCTGATATAGTATGTTTGCTGTTCTCATTCTCCTTTGTATTTACTTGTCCTGGGTTAATGTTCTCAGGGTTGGGACCTGGGACTTTTTGTTGCTGCTTTCCCTTCCTCTCTTTTTTGCTTCATCCATGAGGCCCTAGTTTCTTTCTTTGTTGGTTACAATTCTTCTGATGCTCACTGGCTAGATGACCTTTCCCATTGCAGTGTGCTAGTGAGTTGCAGACAGAGACAGTGTATACTGGTCCCTCCCCTCTGGATCAGTCAAGCTGCTGTGTCCTGCACTGTATTACTTTGAGTTGCCTCCCTTTTGGGTCAGTCAAGCTGCTGTACTATGTTACTTTGTGCCACCTCCCCTCCAGGTCAGTCAAACTTCTGAGGCTTCACTGGGTTAGTGTGGTTAGTGTGTGCCACCGCTGTAGGGATTTGATTTTGAATAACCTATTGGGTCTCAGCCAGGTCACATGACCCAGGCCCAGCTCAGTCCACCAATCCTGTTCGGGAAGGGAACAACTGACTGAAGTCACTGCTGCCCCTTTACTTGCCAGTGCTGCCCGGTCCCAGAATGTCATCCGCTGGAGCCCCCCTTTCTGTGTAATGGCTCCACTTCCATCACTCACCACAGGTGGATGCAGGCACCCCGCCAACTCAGTTCTCCTTTTGGCTTGCCAACCCTTGAATGTAATGTAACTGTACCTCCAGTGAGTCAAAGTGGTGGGACCTTGGACGGCTCAGAAAGTCATGGCAGGACCTCAGCAAGTTGCAGTGGGACCTCAGATAGTCGGCAAGTCGCCCACTGCCACAGAAACACTGAATCTTTAGCATTGTGCAGCTTGAGGGTATCCTAGGGTCTTTCCTATACAGGCTACATCTTGTAGAAGTCACAGAAAGCAGCCCATGCAGCTAGGGTTTCTCTACTGGCCCCTCAGTTTTTAAAGAGAATAGAAACTTGTTCAACTTATTTTGGGAGAGAAAAGGAAGCAGTTCTATTATTTCTTTGCTGACTTTTTGTCTAATTAATCTATCCCTTTGTGACAATGGGATATTAAGTTCCCCTGTTATAATTGTGTTCTTGCGTATTTGGTTTTTCATATCCATTAATGTTTGTCTTATATAGTTGGGTGTTCCTGAATTTGGTGCATATATATTTATAATTATTAGTTCTTCCTCTTGAATTTTTCCACTAATGAATGTATAGTGACCTTGTTTATCTCTTTTAATTACTTTAGGTTTAAAGTTCACATTGTCTACAAATAGAATAGTTACCTCTTATTTTTTCTGGGTTCTTGTTGCAACCCAGTATTTTCTTGGATGGAAAATACTGTTTTCCATCCTTTGACTTTTAATCTATGTCATGGTTTATGTGGGTGGCTCCAGGCTTCATGCATTTGCATTATGCATTTGTGATTGATTCATTGTCTAGTGCTTGGATTGGGGTTGTGAGTGCTACTCTGGATTAGAGGTGGAGCCAGGATGTAATTTAATGGCAGGAAGAAGGTGTGTCTGTCTCTTGCTGGTTTCTGCCTTGCTGTTTGCAGCTCCCATGAACTGGGGCCCAGCCATGTCACCCTGCCTTGGAGCCAACTGAGTGTGGACTGAAACCTCCAAAAACTGTAAGAAATGAACCTTTCCTTTCCCAACTTTGGGCTTCAGGTGTTTTGTCTCGGCAATGAATAAAAAGTCACCAAGTCAATCTATGAGTTTCATTTTGGGTCAGATGTGTTTTTGTATACAGCATATTGTGAGATCATGGTTCTTCTTTTTAATTTTAAAGAGAATAAAACAAAAGAGAACATAACAAAGCAAATCAGAATGGAACAATGCAAGCAACACAGCACTTCACAACAAGACAGCCGGATACCAACAGTAATTACCATAATATCTTTTTGCTTTGAAATAGTTGAGCATACCTTCACACACAATAATATCAACCATAACAAAATAGTATAAAACTATTCAAGAGAATTAAAGTATTACAGGACATTCAAAAGCAAATAACAGAAAATGAACAATGACTACTATAATATCTCATTTTCCTTAAAAAATTGTTTATTCTATCACACATATTAAAATCCAGTAAGACACAACATGATAAAACCAATGAGAACAGAAGAACAAAAGCATGGTAAGACTTCAAAGGAAGATGACATTAAATCAGCAATGGCTGCCATAATGTCTTGTTTTCTTCAAAGTAGCTGTTCATCCCTTCATGCATAATAAAATCAAACAAAACAGAATAAAACCATTCCAACCAATGAATGAAAATAATTATAAGCCTTTAGAGCAGCATAATGGGGAGCCATGATGGCATTCTGTTTCTTGATCTATTATTTTGATAGGTGAATTAAGGCCATTTACATTTATGGATATAGCTGATATGTACTGGCTTGACTTTGCCATGTTATAGTTTGCTTTCTGCTTTTCCCTCTTGTATAATTGTTGTCCTACCTGGTGGCTTCTTTTTGTTGTTTTTTCTGAGGATTTTGGTCATTTTTATCTCTATCAAATATGTCTTTCAATACTCTTTCTAGGGTTGGTTTGTTGGGCATGAATTTTTTCAGTTGTTATTTGTCATAGTTCTTGTTTCTCAATTAAATTTGAAAGAAAGCTTCATTTAAATGGTTTTGCCAGTTTTCAATAGAATTTTTTTGTTTCTTGAATATCTCTTTGAATTTGTTTCATGGATTTTGCTTGTTTTCAACCTTCATCATTCAAAGTTTCAATCAATTTCCCATTCTCCTGTATTTTTTAAAATCTTATTTCATTTCTAACTTTGTTGAACAATTTATTTACTAAGATTGGTATATCTGTCTTTACATTTGTATTTCTAATTTGATTTTCTCTAGAGCCTCATGGAGTTGTTTTTTATTATTTCACTTGCTATCTTTTCAGAGACTTCTGGTGTGTTACTTTTGAAGTCCTCTATTTCAGTCTCCTGTACTTGTTCCTGGTGGACTAGATGTTTGAGATTTCATTTTGCTCTTTTCCCCTTTCAAGTTAATATTTGGTCCTTCAATCCCACTAGTGTCAACTGTTGGTAGTGTGTATTTTGGGGTCCTACTGTAAGGTTGGTGTTTGTCCAATTGCTGTTCCCACAATGAAGAGGTCGGCCAGTCACCTGAATTCCCCCTGCAATGTTCTGTATTCTTAAGAAAAGAAAATAGGTATCTACACTGTGCCAAGTATTTTGCTATGTGGTGAGTGTTAAGTTTACTCATACAAACTTTATTACTATTTAGCAACCATTCTTCCTTCCCTAGCACAATGGGCACTCCAGTCCACTGGGTGATTACTTTGACCAGTGAGAGTGTAAGAGGCCTGAGAAGTATTATGAGTTTGTGTTTCCCTTTGCACTTCTACCATTTGCTATAAAATTGTGCCTCGTGTAGTCATTGTTTCTTTAGTCATAGTCTCAGAATGAGAGATGTGGAGAAAATTTGAACTCAAGCAGCATGCTGGATTCATACCTAGCCAAGTCCAGCTGATCATTGGGCAAATTCTCAGTTGACATATCATTTTGGGCAAGAAATAGATTTGCTATTCTAAGACTCTAAGAATTTTGGTTATTTGTTATGGTAGCAAAACAGATAAATCATCAGTGAAAGAAATATTGTGGTTAGTGGAGGAAATATAAATTATTAAACAGGTAACTATCAATGTTCTCTGTGTTTTGGGAAAAATGAAATATTTCTAGAAGTGTGCATAGCAGGTGGATTTCCACTCTGCTGGGGAGAAAGAAAGTCTTTTGTGGTAGCTACTACTTATATTTAGATTAATAATTTATCTTCTAGTCATTATTTAGTATGTCCAAAAGTCCATCTGTTCCTCATTTGGAGTTGGTGCATAATACTCTATTCAAAATTAAAAGCAATTTATTTTTCTTAATTTATTATGTGATTATGTTGTGTTTTAATGAGGTACTAAAAAATCCAATTATGTCCTTTTATATAGAGCCAGCATCCTTGAAGTTTATAATGTTTATCCTACAGTGCTAGAAAATCTTTCTCAAATTATAGAATTAAAGACTATTTGTACTGATATAGTCCTTGTGATGACCTGGATCAACATTCTATAAGTAAATCTACTAAGCTCCACAAAGTTACAGTTAATTTCTTAAGTCTCTTGTTGCAGTTTGGGGAGGGCCAGAGACAGAACTCAGGTGTCCTGGTATCTGGATCACAATGCCTGTAACACAGAAACATTTGCTTCTTTGGACTTTCCTAAAATTTTTTTTTAAAAAGTATTGATTAGAAGTATTATAAATTCACATAGTGTTTTAGTTTAAGGCAAGAGTTAAATGTTGGAGTGTGAACATTTTTGTTAACTAAAACGGCAAAAGGGTCATTGTGCTATTTACCAAGATTTAATATACTTTCCTGCTAGCTGTGGCCATATTACACATCCTCATAGTATTTTATTTTACCATTTATAGTTATATGTTTATTTGTGTAACTGGTCAATTAATGTTTATTTTTCATTCGAGACTTCATGAAGGGAGAGAAGATAAGACTCCAATAACTAGCACAGTGCTTCACACATGGTAAGTATTGAAAATACTTTTGGAGAATTAACAAACAACCTTTATTTATCCTAGAAAAGCAGTATTATCATACTTCACCATATGGTGTGAAGCATATCCAAGCTAAATTTTCCTTTTGATTATAAATCATCTGCATGATACACCAGTTTTTCCTGGAGTCTGAGGAAATGACTTAGTGATTTGGTTTAAGTAGAATTTTATTAACATCACATAATGAATATAATATTAAGAATAGCACTAATGATAATAACAAAATATAAATTGGCACAAACTTATTGCACTGAAATTATTTCATTTAAGAAGAAGAGTGTACAATGACTCATGAAATGAGGTTTATTCAAGTGGAATTAATACGTTTACTAATAAAAGTCTTTAAAATTATTTGAGTGACTAATCTTATGGTATAAAAAACTCCAAAGGCAACAATATCTTTAACTTACTGTTTTAATATTAGAAAGAAATATCTGCTAGACCAGGGTGGTCTATTCCTCATCACTTAATGATGTATCACTGAGACACATATAATGTAAAAATTTGAAGACAGTAATAAAGGTCCTAGATACTGGTTTTACCAACTATTTTAGCACTTTAAGACTAAAGAAAAAGTAATTATAACATAGAACTCAGTGACTATCATTGTAATCCTTGTGTGGGGGAGTTACCAGTAACCCAAATGATATTTACTCGGCTTTTCCTCACTGCTTGATCTATGTTCTCCAAGAAATTTACACCTACTGTTTAAGAATAATACAAACCTCTTTACTATCCAAAATTAGAGTAAAACAAAGCAAAATGTGAAATAACAAAGATTGTTTATCATTAATCCATGTACACTGAATGACTGTAAAAGAACAATGAATAAATTGCTGGGTTTTTGGGGAGATTGCCAGTTGGGGAGATTGCCAATTAATACCATCCCTGTTTTTAAACATTTGCTAAGTACTGAAGAAATAAGAGTGTGTATGCCAAAATTTCAATCTTTATCAGTAGCTACAGATCAGAAAATAGATTAGTGAATTTAAGTCCATCAACTAAATTGTCTTGCTAGCCAAATTCAGAATGTGGAGGACTTCCTCAATTTAGTGAAAACACTGGATTTGGGCAGATCTTCTCTCACCTAACTCACCAGAGCTAGTTTCTCTGCAACTTGCATCAGAAAAGCTGCTGTTATGGTTTGTGTCTGGATGTCTTCCTAAAGCCTCATGCAGTCGTGGAAGCAGAATTCTAGAGTTTGTGAATGATTCATGGTCCAATGCTGGGATTATGGGAATGAATGCAACACCCAAGTATGTGTGGCCTACATATAATACAAAGGATAGAAAGAATCTTCTTTCTGTGCTCTTTTTGCTGTTGTTACTTTTGCTGTCTTATAGCCACCATGAACTGTTACTCTCTGCTATGAGCCATTCTGCTTTGGAGCCAGTGAAGTATGGACTGAAACCTCCATAAACAGTAAGCTAAATGAACCTTTCCTTCATTTTGAGTGTCCAATATTTTGTCTCAGCAATGAGAGAAAAATTAACCAAGACAGGTGGAAAGGTGGGCTAACAGTGCACATTTGTTACATGTATGAGTATATTAAAATATGTTTCATCTGATTTGTTGAAAATCATCAAGAATTACTTTTATTATGAAAAAAAAACTAGAAAATAGAAAGCAGATGAAGGCTGTAGACCTTTCCTATATATACTTCTCAAAAGCAAGTTCCCTTTACATGTTCATGTGTTTCTTTACAAGTTTCTCTGTTCTCACCAGCTCATATGGACTGTGTAATTTTAAAACAAAAAATTTCCATTTATCTGGCTGTATATATGTAACTAAGAAAGTATAAATGATGAGATGTTATGAATGGACATTTCACAAAGTGTGACTGGGTTTGAGGAACCATTGAGGATGTTGGGAATAGCAACCACAGGAAGCTAAAGAGCCCAAAGTACAAAAGAAGGCAATAGTGCTTTCCTTGGAGCTTGGTAGGAACTGCTTCAGTAAAAGTTCAGATTTGTGATAGTTGAGGTTTTAAAGGGATATAGATTTTTATTAGAAAAGCTTTTGTAAAGCAGCAGATGCTCTTATCTTTTAATGAGATTGTATCTGATCAACCTATATTTAAACATCATGGTTGGTTAGCCGAGCTTACATGTGTGCAGGAGATTTTCATTAATCTATAATTGGGCAAGATCATCTAACATGAAAGCCATTTGACGATGAAGTGCTAATATCTCATGTAATTTGTTAAATACCTGGATCCAAAACACTTGCACAATGAAAGAGCTTGAGTCATTCACTTACATAATTTCATGATTCACTGAACCCATGCTGTCACTGCCCCAAATCATAAAAACGTATCATTCTACTGGCCCAGGAAGAGATAAAAATTAAAAATATGCATATTTTCTACTGACTGCATAGGGTTTTTTTTTTTTTTTTTTACTTTTTAAATTTTTTATCAGTACCAGGGGTCGAATTCACGACCGCCTGCTTGCAAGGCAGGTGCTTATGCCACTGAGCTAAATCCCCAGTCTCCTGCATAGGGTTTTAATACCATTATAAAGTCAAAAAATTGTAAGTCAATCTTTAAAATGACTGACCTCATAACTGACCTCATCTCTCTTCTTTTCCTTTGATCTCCTCTCAGTTGCCTTCAGTGGCCAAAGCTAATGGAAAGCCAAAAGGCAGGGTGTCATTTGGATGTACCCTAGTGTTGTCACCCTGCAAAAGGATAGATTAAGGAAAGGGACAGAAGCCAATGGATCTAGCAATGTGAAGAACAAAGGGAGAACAGTCACACACCAATTACTAATAATGTTTATTAGTAGAATTTTTATATTTATAGAATTCTGATGCAGCAATGATTTATTATGACCACTCCTTTTCATAAACTAAATAATGTTCAACATTTTGGATATTATTGAATATTCAATGCACATTTTTCATTTCTATAACTTTCTTAAAGTAAATTCTTGGGAGTTAAATTATTATGTTAAAAAGAAAAAATACTCAGGTTTTTTACTACTTGCTTAAAACATTATTTTAAAATTATACATATTATACCACCAGTAATGTGAGACCCACTTTCTGCTGCTGCATACTTTTGAGCATTGAATATCCTTATAAAAATCATTTATTTTGTCCACAAAACTGCATTGGCCTATTTGCTATGACTTTTTTTTTTTTTTTTTTTTTTTTTTGTCTTTTTATCGGTACCGGGGATTGAACTCATGACTGCCTGCTTGCAAGGCAGGCGCTTATGCTGCTGAGCTAAATCCCCAGCCCCAATTTGCTATGACTTGTATCTAGATGTCATCACAAAACATCATGTAGTCATAGGTAGGGAGTTATAAAATTGGTTGGAAAAGGGTTTGTGATTCTTGGACCGAAGGTATCTGATCACTAAATGAGTCCAGTAATTAGACTAGCATAGCTCTGGATGTGGGTGATGGGATGGACCACCCTCGGTGTGAGTGGACCACCCTAAAGCAGGTAGCCTGGAAGGAACAGAAGGGTGAAGCCAACTGCTGTTGCTGCTTGATGCTCTGGTGCTCTCTGCCTACCCTGTCCGGCCGCCCTGCCTTGGAATCAGTCATCTACAGACTGAAAACCTCTACAAGCTGTGAACTGAAATATACCTCTCCTCTTTTAACTTTGGATGTCAGGTATTTTGTCTCATCATTAAGAAAAAGTAACTAAGGCACATTAATATTCTAAAAAGAAATTTTAAAATGATATTTCTTCATCTCAGATGCCCATTTTTGGAGAAAGTCTTTGAAATTAAGGGCTTGATGTTTTAAAATTCTTTGTGTGTTCTTCATATAAATCCTTTGTCTAAGGTATTGCTTGCTAAAATTCTTTTCCATTCTGTGGGCTTTCATTTCACTTTGTTGGTGATTTCTTTTGAAGTACAAAAACTTTTTAGTAAGTTGAGATCCCAGTTGTTGATTCTTTGAAGTACTTCCCATGCAGTTTGTGTTTTGTTTATGAATTCTTTGCCTACCCCTATGTTTCCAAGATTTCTACCTACCTTGTCTTCTAATAGATTTAGTGTTTAATATTTAGATTTTTGATCCATTTAGATTTTAGTTTCATGCATGGTGATAGACATGGGTCTAGTTTTAGCTTTTGGCATGTGGAGAGCCAGTTTTTCCAACACCATTTATTATAGAGGCTATTCTTCCAGTGAACATGTGTAGCCCCTTTGTAAAATTTCAGGTGGCTGAGTGTATTTGTAGTTGTGTTTGCATCTTCTAATCTGTTCCATTGATCCTCAGGTGTCTCTCTTTGCCAGTACCATGCTGATTATATTCACATCCTAGAAATACTACTCTCACAAATCTTACTGTGGTTTTGATTGCTATCTCCCTAATGATTAATGATATCTAGAATCTTTTCATGTGCTTATTTGTGTATTTATATCTTCTTAGGAGAAATATATATTTAGATCTTCGTTACTTTTGAATCTTTTTTTTTTATTTGTAGGAGTGTTTTATATACTCTGTATAGTACTCCCTTGTCAAATATGTAATTTGCAAATATCTTCTTTCACCCCTTTGGTTGCCTTTTCCTATGAATGTTTGTATTCACCAAAAATGATATATTGAAGTCTGAATTTGAAAGCTAATTGTATTGAAAGATGTGGTTTTTGGAGTGGTGATTAGAATTTGAAGATGCAATTTATTAGTGATTTTATTTCATAGACCATCCTTTTTAAATTTAATTTTTTTTTGTTTTAAAGATAGTAAAATACAACAAAACAAGACAGAAAAAAGCCATTGAAGACAATGCAACAAAATTTGTACAGAACTTCAGAGCAGGATTCCAGAATAACAATAATAGCTATCATAGTATATCTAGTTATCTTCACAATAGTTGTCCATTCCATTAGGTATAGCAAAATCAAACCAAAAACAAAATACAATAAAATCAATCAAAATAGAATATTGAATAAAGCAAATAATCAGAACAAAGCAAAACAGTGAAAACAGTACTGGATTTCAAAGACAAAAGAGAAGGAAATCCCCCATATTTGCTGTATTGCATACAGTCATCCTCCTAAGAGATGTTGAGCCTGATGACCCCAAGGCCTACAAAGTCAACCAAACCATACAAGCGTTTAGTCACTTTATGTACCTTACTTGCTATCAACTCAGGCTGTCCTTGGAATCGGGTTGCTAGAGGGGAGGGTGTTGATTCTCAGCCCTCACACTGGTAGACTTGTGCTGCTCACTGGGAAGGCTGATCTTTGATTTCTTGGTTGATCCCTCAAGTCCTGGCATGGCAGATTCTCTCGGAAGACACTGGCTTTTATCTTCCTGGCAGGCAAACAGCTTGCACTGCTTACCAGGAAGGCTGGATTGTTGATTTCTTGGTCATGGACCATGTAGTATCTGAATACTAATCACTGTATCAAGGGCACATAGATTTTTTAAAGGATTTTTATAGTTTTCTACCTTATATTTAGATCAATGATCAATTTTGAGTACATTGTGAAAAATACAATTTCTGTGTCTAGGTTCATTCTTTTTCATAATGGGTGTACAAATATTCCAGCTATTTGCTGTAAAAGACTGTCTTTTCTTCCCTGAATTGTTTTTTCACATCATAAAATTTAATTTACTCTATTTTTGGCCTTTCTAGTGTGTTCTATTAACCTGTGTGTTTAGTCTTTAGTATATTTCATATTTTTATTACTCTATGGGAAATTTTGAAAAAGGAAAGTATGAGTTCTATAACATTTTTGTGCCCCTTCATTATGTTTAGCTAGTTTAGGTCTTTGGATTTTCCATATGAATTTTAGAATCAATTTGCTAATGTCAACAAACTAGTTTGCTGGGATTTTGAGTGATATTACCCTTATCTTATAGATTAAATTGGGAAGAATTGACATGCTCACAATATTGAGTTTTCCAAATTATTTTACTATATAATATCTATGAAAAAATGGAAGAATACTTCTCTAATGCTAAGCTTTTATTTTCCTCCGAAAACAGAAACAAAAAACCAGATGTAAGAACCCTCTCTAGGTTTAGGCATCAAGCATAGTCCCTGTGGCTTACTAAAACACATGTCCAAGGTGCTATCATTTCCCGACCACTTCCTAAATTACAGTTGCTTCACAGACTACGTTTCTGCTATCTGATTGAAGATACAGAGCTTCTCTGTGCTTTTTAAGATGCATCATTCTTCCTGAGACTGAATTCTCTTTTGGACATACATCTTTAATTAAAAATGAGTTTAGAAACCCTCCTTTCAGTAAGCTCTTTCCCAGCTTGCTAAATTGAGATTCTCTAGTCGTGCCTTGCACTGCATATTCAAATGCTTATAAACCAGGCCATGGAAACAGAAATAATTCCAAATAAATACACATCTTTACTTCATTTACTAAACATCTTGAAAGGCATTCAAAGTCACCAAATTTCCTTCTTAAAATCTCTTTTATTTCTTTTCTGTGCTCTGCCAACA